GACCGACATACTTAGGAAGTATGTTGAGAACTCTCTTAGAACATTATCAGCAGGACCTTAGCATGGAGAGCCCATGTGCTCTTGGGCATGTCACTTAGCTTTTCCACCTCTCGGCTCTGGCAATTGAAACATAGGCATAGGGCGCCTGGGCGGCTCATACGGTTGAGCGTCTGCCTTCCGCTCGGGTCGTGATCCCAGGGTCCTGGGATTGAGCCCCACATCAAGCATCAAGCTCCCTGCTCAGCGGGGAACCTGCTTCTCCCTCTCCCTCTGCCTGCTTCTTCCCCTGTTTATACACTCTCTCTCTCTCTGTCAAAAATAAATAAAATCTTTCAAAAAGAAACATAGGCATAAATACATGAATCTGTAGCCTGTTCTCTGGTTATGAGTTCCCTCCAGCAAGAGCATTACTTTGGAAAATGAAATAAAAAAGACATGGCCAGTCTGTTTCCTACAGCTGTCTTTGGGTGGATTTGATTATTCTACATATTCTTATGCTTCCCTGCCACTTCCCAATTTTTGACGATAAGCACATGCTACTTTTGTAACAATAACAATTAAACATAATTATTTAAAAGAGAGTTCTGCATACATACAGTTGTTGTTCACTATTTAACTCCATCTGCCTTCCTCATTGGAAGGAGTGTTCCCAACTCCTTGTCTTTAGACCAGAACAGACCCCATAGCTCATTTGATCCCAACCCTCATCTTACTAATGAGGAGACTGCCCGCTCTGCCCTCACCCTTGGCCATGGCAGCTGCATTCCCCCAAGTGAGAATTCACATTTCCTTCCTCTGACTTCCTCACCAAGGAAAAGTTAAAGAAAACCCAGCAAAGAAATAGCAGATGGAGGGAAGGCAATTCCTCAGGTAAGAAGTTTATGTGTCACATTTATGTCCTTTAAAAACATCAGCCTGGGGCACCTGGGGTGGCTCAGTTGGTTAAGCGTCGACTCTTGGTTTCAGCTCAGGTCATGATCTCAGGCTCATAAGATCGAGCCCCGAGTCGGGTTCCATGCTCAGTGAGGAATCTGCTTGAGATTCTCTCTCCCTCTGCCTCTCCCCACCACTCTCTCTCTCTCTCTCAAATAAATAAATACATCTTTAAAAATAAAAATAAAAACATCAGCCTTTCTCCTCCTCTCTACTCACGGAGTCTTCCTGGCAGCTTGCAGATTCCCCCTTCATCCAGGAAGTTCATTCTAGCTTCACATCTGGCCTGGGTGCCTGGGGGTGGTGTGGCTGCCTCAGGCCTCACAGAAGAGCTAGCCAATGCTCCCTCCTAGAAAGAGGAAAAACCAGGGCAGTCAAAGACAAGACTTCTTGGTGAAGGCTCAGTCATCCTTAAATATATTAAGAATTTTTCTCAAAGGGAAAGACCATCCATCTGTGTGGGGCACCTGGGTGGTTCAGTTGGTTGGGTGTCTGCCTTTGGCTCAGGTCATGATCTTGGGGTCCTGGGATCAAGGCCCAAGTAGGGCTCCCTGCTCAGCAAAGAGTCTGCTTCTCCATCTCCCTCTGCTTTTCCCCACTGCTCATACTCTCTCTCTCAAATAAGAAATTTCTTTAAAAAAATTTTTTAAAAAGGTAGGAACCGAGTATGTCTTCAGCTTGGTACCTTCAACATTTTGTACAGAGTGAACACTTGATAAATTTCATCTTTCTGATTCAAGTTTTTCATGCATGTGCCTAACCCACCAGAAGGCTCCCCTGCCAAGATTTGAGTTGTAAGCTGGAAATCTGAGAGCCTAGGAATACTCACTGGGACCTTGGTGAGAGGACAGAAGGAACCTGAGGGGCCAGGGTAAAAAGACTTTCAGTCAAAAATAAATAAACAAGTAAATGCTGTTTTCAAGGGAGAAAAAGGAAGGAAACATTTCTGAATCCCAAGGTCCCACCAAGGGAAGCCTTTATCTTTACAATTTTACAACCAGCCTAGCCCCAGAGGTGATATGGTTCATCCATCAGGAAGGGGAGGTGAAAAAAGTGACAGGATTTTGTAGAAACAGGAGTAACCTTGGGGCTTATGCCCAGTGACAGGTGCCAGCCGGTGAAAAGTAAAAGTGAAACCAGTCCCAGCAAGTCATTTTCTCAAACTAGAATCTTCAAGAGCATTATATTCATCTCCTGATGTCGGAGGAGGGCAGCCTGCAGTGAAAGACTGTGGATCTGGAGCTGTCAAGGCAGAGGAGGATTTAACACCTTTTGGGGTAGTTCTCACTGCTGGCCCCCACCACACCACCGCCCCTTGGTGCTATTTCCCAGGTAACCCAGCTTCAGAGGCTGCCGCCTGGGAGCAGGACATGCCAAGCTGGAGAAGGGTCTAAGATCTCACACTTGCAGGAAGCCCCTTGTGGACTCTTCTACCCTCTTCCAAGCTTGAGGACGGGCCAATTCCGGGGCTTTAACTGCCTGGGAAATGCCAGCCTGGGATCTACTGAGAGTTAGAGCTCTGGGCTGCAGCATGAAAGCCAGGGGAAGGTCTGATAAAATATGGATTTGGATCTGAATCTTCTTCTGGAGAGAGGAGGTGGAGAAAGGCTTTGGAGGTGGGAAGGGGGCCCTGCTCTGGGGCGGTTCTGAGGCTTCTCGGGAAATACGGCAAATGGAGAGGGACTGCTAAGGAGTGGGGGGGGGCCCTCTCCGGTGGCGTTTGCCAGCGGTTCGGGTCTGGTTTGCGCAGGAACTTCCAGGGACGTCACAACTGGTTGATGTAGGGGTGAGGAGGAGGTAAGGAGAAGCAGTATATAACACGGGGGACGGGGTGGGGGGGTGTCGGAAGAGAGACAGTGAGGCTGGAGGTGAGTGAGGAGGAAGGACCGGTGAAGGATGGATGGTGAGGTTTGGGAATGTGTAGGAAAAGTGAGATTCCAGCAAGTAAAAGTTCTGATAACACGGGTACGTTCACTGAGGTGGTGGAGAAGGGATGGGCGGGGGGCCCCCCGAGGCTCCGCGTACGCGCGCGGCGGCGTTCCCCCGCCAGGCTCTTACCTGCATTACAGGTGGAGGTGAGAGAGCCACCGGCCGTCAGTCGTGAGCGCTCCACTGGCCGCGGCTGCTGGGCGCTCTCAGGCCCTCCTTCCCTCACCCCTTAACTGGGCCCCCAAACTGGAAGGTCGCGTGGGAGAAAATCTCTTTCGAGAAGCGCCGGGGAGTGTACCCTCGGGTACCCCCGGCCAGCAGGCTCACAGGGCGCTCCGGTAATCGCTATCCTTCCGGGAAACGAAAACGAAAGAGCGGGATCCGACTTCCACTCCCGCCCCGGCGGGCTCTGGGGAGCGCAGCGGCGGGGGCTCTGTGCTCGCCAGCCGGGAGGCGTCGGTCCTGCTCACAGCCTCCCGCTAGTGGACGGCCCCTCGGGCAGCCTGGCCCTGGCTCCCAGGGACGCGGAGGTGAGATCCTGCGGGATCTGGGGAGCCGAGGGGACCCCTGGTCCTTGGGCTCAGGACAGCAACAGAACAACTTCCTGTCACCCCTGTGTGTCTCCGCATTTGGATGGGAGGGGACCTTAGGGATGAGTGACCTTCCTGGCCCTGACCAATCCGACCTGCCGTTGGTTGGGCCCTTTGGACGCCCCACCATCCCAGCCGAGCCCCACCATCAGAGCGGCTGTGCTACTCCTCCTGACTTAGACCCTAGTACCCTGTGGAGCCTGGCGAGCACCTTTTCCCAGGTCTCTGGCTCCCCCAGGCAAGCCAACACACCAGCACGAAGAAAAGGAGGGAAGCCTTCTGCGGAAACTCCGAAGTTATAGATGCTGTTATAAAGACGGCTTAGCGCTGATATATCAGGAGCTCCTAGAAACTAGTAAGAACAGGGCCAGAAACCCAATAGAAAAATGGGCAAAGGACATGAATAGTCAGTCCACATAAAACAAAATGTTGAATAGCCCGGGAACATAGAAGAAGATGCTCAGACTCACTCATTATAAAAGATGTGCAAATAAAAGTTTTTGAGATACCATTTTTTTTTGCCTGTTATTTTGGCAAAAATTCAAAGTTTACTAACATAATCTGCTGGAGTGGCTGAGGGGAACAGAGAGGACACTGGGCAACCCCATGGAAGGCAGTAAGACGAGATCTGGCAAAGTTACAAATGCACATACCCTTCACCCAGCAATCCCACTACCAGAAATGTATTCAATAAATCTACCTGCACATATCCAAAACAATACGCATTATTGATTTCAGCATGGCTTACGATAATGACCGATTAGAAACAATCCAGGCATCCATTAAAAGGGGGTGATGAAATAAATCATGATAGATCCATTTAACAGAACACCATGCACAATCTGACAGAGCTCTCTGTGATGATGGCAAGCTCTCCAAGAGGCAGTACAGCATAGCAGTTAAGAACCTAGACTCTGGGGGCGCCTGGGTGGCTCAGTCAGTTAAGCGTTCAAATCTTGGTTTCCGCTCAGGTCATGATCTCAGGGTCATGAGATCCACCGCTTTGGGCTCCATGCTCAGAGCAGAGCCTGCTTGAGATTCTCTCTCCCTCTCCTCTGCACAGCCCCCTCAAATAAATAAATAAATCTTTTTTAAAAAGGAAAAAAAAAGAAGAAGAAGAATCTAGACTCCGAGGACAGCCCGGCTGGCTTGGAATTCCAGCTATGTCACGTACTGGTTTTGTGCCCCTAGATAAATTAGCTAACCTCTCTACTGTCTCTCTCCACTAACTGCTGCAGTTTCCTCAACAGTAAAACAGCAGGGCGCCTGGGTGGTTCACTCGGTTAAGCATCTGCCTTTGGCTCAGGTCATGATCCTAGGGTCCTGGAATGGAGCCCTGTGTTGGACTCCCTGCTCAGTGCGGAGTCTGCTTCTCCCTCTCCCTCTGCCGCTCCCCCTGCTTGTGCTCTCTCTCTCTCTCTCTGTCAAATGAATTAATAAAATTAAAAAAAAAAACAGTAAAACAGAGCTAATAATAATACCTGTCTCATGAGGCTGCTATGAGGAATAAATGAGTTAACATTTGTAAGACAACTAGAATACAGCCTGATCACCATGCAAAGCAAAAAAAAAAATCAAGGTACAGAACAATGTGTACTACATACTATCTTTTGTGTGTAAATATATATATATATTTTTGTACAAAGAAGCTCTGAAGGGATATGTAACAAGCTACTAGACACACCTGGGATTCAGGATAGAAAATAAGAGCAAGAGTTTTCACTGGAAACCTTTTTACATTGTTTTGATTAATACCTATCAAAAGAGTAAAAATAAATAAGAAAGATGTTTTAGCATCCTTTCCATGCCAGCAAGCCAAAACCTAAAAAATGAAGGAACAATATAGGCATCGCCTGAGACAAACTGAAAAAATGGGGACATTTCCCTTTGGAAGGACAAAGGCAATGCTACATAATATAATCAAAGTCTACAAAATTTTGAACCCATATGAGCAGGAATAAGTGGAATCCCTTCTTCACAAAAGAAACATGCACAGGTGTTGGGATGCCTGGATGGCACATCTGGTTAGGCATCCAGCTCTTGATTTTGGCTCAGGTCATGATCTCAGGGTCATGAGATCGAACCCTAAGTCCACTCCAGGCTCAGCAAATAGTCTGCTTGTCCCTCTTTTGTCCCCCCTCTGCCCCCCACCCCCACTCTCCCTCTCAAATAAATAAATAAAATCTTAAAAAAAAAGAAATATGCACAGGTATTTCATGCTCAAAAAATAACAATATTTATTTCATTTTTTAAATTATTAATTTTAAATAACACTCTTCCTACAAAGAACTCAGAATGTATATATGGAACTTATAGTTTATAACCACAAACTTTCTTAATACTTGTAATACTTCGAAAAGGGGGAAGAGGGATGATGAGGTAGACAGAGAGGGAAAAGAACAGGGCACTGCAGATCTGGACACAGGCAACAAGGGTGGGGCCAACAGCTGGCTGGGGGGCCTGGTACCCTGGGAAGGGCCCGGAGAAAGCACCCCTTTCTTTGAGGATTAGGTCCAGTTTTACTCATGGAAGAAAATGCTTAAGATTTCCTTATAAGGAGCACTGGGACCATCCACAGCACTGGTGTTTTCTAAGTGGCAGGGCCTCCTTGGGCGTTCCCAGCAAGCAATCTCAAACATCTCATAGCTGGTCGCTCTGCACAGACAAACGGCCAGTGAGTCTGGCATTCTCCAACAAACCAGGGGTGAACCAACACTGATGGGTAAAAAGAGAGGGAGACGGAGAAGGGTATTCTTCCATCTGTTCCAGTAGGATTCAGGGTTTCTCGGAGGACAGGAGGAAAGCAGAATTTGGCATTTGCATTCCTTTTATATCAAGCGGTTATTCCAGAGAAAGCGCAGCAACACATGAACTCCTCCAAAGAAAAGCAAGACAAAATGAGCCAGTGCCTCCCTGACTTCCTGTTGAAAATCCTGTTTAACACAAGATCGAGAGAGAGGTTTTAAAAAACAACAGAATAATCCAAAGATAGAAATTCAATATTAAGATTAATTCAGTGAGGGACACCTGGGTGGCTCAGTTGGTTAAGCATCTGCCTTCAGCTCAGGTCATGATCCCAGGGTCCTGGGATCGAGCCCCGCATCGGGCTCCCTGCTCAGCAGGGAGCCTGATTCTCCCCAGCCTGCTGCTTCCCCTGCTTGTGCTCTCGCTCTCTCTCTGACAAATAAATAAAATCTTAAGAAAAGAAAGATTAATTCAATGAATGCCACAAACAAACTCCTTGGATTTATGAATCATATGAGCAGGACAATATCTCGGTCTGTTTTGTAATGGCCGCATCCTCCACACGCCTTGGGAAGTTTTCCCCTGGAGGTGTTTTCCCATTATCTTAACCATCAGCAAACTGGGGCTTCTTTTCAGGGCTGATAACCTCTTCCTCTGGCTTTGCAGAGCACTTCCTTAGTCCTTTCAAAGAAGCAAGACGTTTGCTTTGGAGTTGGAAGAAAGGACAGGACTTAGCTGAATGTGTGTGGGGGGGTGAATATGAGTAAAGTTGGAGGTGACAGAGAGCACAGCAGGTCTGTGGAGCGGTAAGGAAACACCACTGTTGATCTGCGAACATCAGGAGAAGGCTGAGGGTCCAATACAAATGGGTGTCCCCGTCCCTGCCCCTCCTCCTGTGGTCTCTTCTCAACACAGCAGCGGTGGGGGGGCTGTGAACGGTGCCTACTCTGCTCAGAGCTCTCCAATGGCTCTGCCTCAGGCCTCCTGGGGACCTCAGGGCCCCGCCTAATCTGCCCCCACCACTGCTCCGACAGTTTTTTTTACTACTTTTTCCCTTACTCAGCCTCAGCCTCACTGCCTCCTTGCTCTTCTTCAAACATGCCAGATCCGCTTCTGCCTCAGAGTCTTTGCTTTCCATCTGCCCCCACTGCTCGCCCCCCCCCGATATCCATGCTCCCTCCCATACCTCTGTCAAGGTTTTGCTCAAAAGTCACCCTCTCAGTAAGGCCTTCCCTCCTCTACTTAAAACTCTACATCCCCCAACACGCCTCACTCCTTTCCTTGCTGTATTTTTCTCCACAATATTTATCAGTGTCTGATAAACTATATACTTTGTTTGCTTATAGTTTGTCTCCCTTTTAGAATATCAACTCCATGAGATCGGGAGTTTTGTCTCTTTTATTTATTTTTTTTAAAGATTTTATTTATTTATTTGAGAGAAAGAGCGCACACACACACACACACACACACACACACACACGGGGAGAGGGGCAGAGGAAAAGGGAGAAGCAGACTCCCTGCTGAGCACAGAACCCGATGGATGCAGGACTTGATCCCAGGACCCTGGGATCATGACCTAAGCCAAAGGCAGCCGCTTAACCGCTGAGCCACCGAGGCGCCCCAGTTTTGTCTCTTTTAATCTCTGCCATATCTCCAGTACTTAAACAGATCCTGACACACAGTAGATGCTCAATAAGTATTAGTTGAATAAATGAATGAATAAATGAGTGATAAACCAACAGTAGCAAGCTAAAGAATTTAGGCTTTGTCCTGTCAGCAACTGGGAATCTTTAAAGGATTATTTCCCTTTAAAGTTGATATCAGTTAGGAAAGTTGAATGAACTTCCTTCCAGGAAGGTAGATGAGAAAATGTATAAAGCACAAAGTCAGATGCTCATGGGCATCTGATGCTCATCTGATGCTCATTCTTACATATATGTAAATTCCAGTTTTGCCACTTAACTGCTGAGTGACCTTCAGTTACCTAATCTCTCTGAACCTCAACTCCTTCTCCTGAAATACTAATCCACTAATCCATAAAATTATTGAGAGAATTGAATGAAACACATAAGAGTCTTTCAAAGAGTACCTGGAAGAAATTGTTTAGTAAATGTTAGCTTCCCTCCCCTCTTTCTAACAAACTAAGAAATTCCATATGCATTATTGTACCAGTCAGTGTCCCAGAGGAAACAGATGGCACACTTCAAATTAAGATAAATCAGGGAGAGTTAAATAAAGAGACTATCTACAAAGGCGGGGGACACACGGGGTGGTGCAATTCCCTGGGCTGGTAATGTCTGAGCTGTTGCCACTCCTAGGCCTGTAGGGATGGCGTTGGGGGGAGCACAGTTTCTAGAACCCAGAAGGAGAGAGTCCTATGGAGAAAAATATCCCAAAGACATATTTAAGATCCTAAAAGTGACGGGAAGACTATTTTTAAAACATACTTTAGGGGCGCCTGGGTGGCACAGTTGGTTAAGCATCCAACTCTTGGTTTCAGCTCAGGCCGTGATCTCAGGGTTGCAGAATCAGGCCCCACACTAGGCTCTGCACTCAGGGTGGAGTCTGCTTGAGATTCTCTCTCCCTCTCTCCCTGTCCCTCCCCTCCCCCTGCCAAATAAATAAATAAATAAATCTTTAAAAAATATAATAAAAACAAAACATACTTTATACCTAGGAAAATTACATGCCCCAGATGAAAAAGAAAAAGACCAGGTCCTTAAAAATCCCTCAAAACCCCTAAATAGCGAAATAGAAGATGCTATTGTGAGAATCAAGGCCTATTTGAAAACAAAGAACACGTGCTTAAGTGAAAAGGACAAGAAATCAAGCTATATGGCAGCTCAAGGACAATCCATTCAGTAGACAAAAGTATAGCTCAGGGAACTCCTTGCCAGGGAGTTCCAAAAGCAAGAATAAACGTTTCTTTAAATACACCGAAACCAGGAAGACATCTGGAGTATCAATGCGACCACTTGATTAAACAGAGTACAAAGGTAAATAAATGATGACTATATATGAAATATATCATTCCCGATTTGAAATTCTGTTAAAGTTGCTTGATTTAAGTCTTCAAGCAGCAGAGTAAAGCCTTGAACATTTTAGAGCCAAACTTTGGAGGAATTTTTAAAAGTATTTTTTAAATGTACTGTGCTCTAATTTAAAGGTGTTCAAAAAGGCAATTTTGTGGTCCAGGACAAGATATCTTTAAAAGTCTAGGGCAAAGCCAGCTTTGTAAAATGCTGCAGGGAAAGGTGGGGCAGGCATAAGGATAGACATATAGATCAATGGGACAGAATGGAGAGTCCAGAAATAAACCCTCACATTTATGCTTAATTGATCTTTGACCAGGAGGCCAAGGCAATTTAACAGGGAAAGAAATGGTGCTGGGACAACTGGGTTGTCCATATGCAAAAGAATGAAGATGAAATTGTAACTCATACCAATATACAAACACTAACTCCAAATGGATCAAAGACCTAAATTTAAGAGCTTAAACTATAAATCTCTTAGAAGAACATATAGGTGTAAATCTTCATGACTTTGGGTTAGGCAATGGTTTCTTAGATACGACCCCAAAAGCAGTAGAAACAAAAGAAAAAATAGATAAGTTGAACTTCATCAAAATAAAACACTTCTGTGCTTCGAAGAACACCATCAAAAAAGTGAAAATGGGAGAAAATGTGCAGATAAGATATCTTTTTTTTTTAATTTTATTTATTTATTTGAGAGAGAGAGAATGAGAGATAGAGAGCACGAGAGGGAAGAGGGTCAGAGGGAGAAGCAGACTCCCCACTGAGCGGGGAGCCCGATGCGGGACTCGATCCCGGGACTCCAGGATCATGACCTGAGCCGAAGGCAGTCGCTTAACCAACTGAGCCACCCAGGCACCCGTGCAGATAAGATATCTGATAAGGAACTTAGAACTAGAATGTATGAAGAATTCCTACAACTCGATAATAAAAAGATAAATAACCAAATTTTAAAATGGGCGAAGGATGTGAATAGACATTTCTCCAAAGATACACAAATGAGCAATAAGCACATAAGGAGATACACAACACTAACCATCAGGTGAGTGCAGATCAAAACCACAATGAGACTCCACATCCACCAGGCTGGCTATCATAAAAAAGACAGTTAACAACAAATGTTGACAAGGATGTGGAGAATCTGTCACCTCACATCCTGCTGCAGGGCCACAATGTAAAATGGTGCAGCCACTGTGGAAAACTGCCTGGAAGTTCCTCAAAAAGTTAAATATAAAGCTGCCCTGTGACTCAGCAATTCCATTCCTGGATATGCTCCACGAAGAACTGAAAACATATGTCAACACAAAAACTTCTACACAAATGTTCATGACATCGCTATTCACAACAGTCAAAAAGTTGAAACAACCAAAATGTCCATCAACTGATGAACAGATAATATATACAACTGAATAATATTCAGCAGTAAAAAGAAATAGTATAGGGTACCTGGGTGGCTCAGTTGGTTGAGCGTCTGCCTTCGGCTCAGGTCATGATCCCAGTGTCCTGGGATCCAGCCCTGCATCAGGCTGCCTGCTCAGCGGGGAGTCTGCTTCTCCCTCTACCCTGCTCCTGATCTCTCTCTCTTTCTCTCAAATAAATACATAAAATCTTTAAAAAAAAAAAAAAAAGAACAAGTAGAATACTGATGGGTGTTGCAATATGGATGAACCTTGAAAAAAACATGCTAAATGAAAAAAGCCAGACATGGAAGGTGGCATATTGTATTGTCCACTTACATGAAATGTTCAGACTAGGCAAATCCATGGAGACAGAAAGGAGTTGGGTGGGGCTGGGAGCAAAAGTGGGAGGAAACAGAAGTGACTATTAACTATTGGGTCTGGGGTGTCTTTCTGGGGCGAAAAAATGCTCTACTGTTGATTCTGATGATGGTTGTACAGCTCTGTGAATATTCTGAAAACCATTCATTGTACAGTCTCAACAGGTGAATTGTACAGTATGTGAATTTTATTCTTCCATAAAGTTATTTATTTTTTAAAAAGCTGGGGGAGTTCAGTGTCAACTTATTAAGCTGTAGGCATAAATTTAAGACATAAGTAAATTACAGCTTCAAACGGAAAGGAAGAAAGAAAGAGAGAGAGAGAGGGAGGGAGGGAGGGAGAAAAATGGAATAGGAGGTTACGCGTAGAGCAGTGCCCTCTTGACTGGGTTGAGGCAAATACAGAAAACAGGTGTTGTGATTTGTCCTCCTCTGTTCTCTCCTCCTCAGGGAAAAAAATTAGAGTACTCAGAGTTAGGAGATAAAGATGCAGGAATGTTGAGCTAAGGACCTCCCTGGAATTCACAAAGTACAGTCATCAGTGAGAACTTTCCTACAGAAGAAACTGTAGCCTAGAAGGAAAATGGTGACTATCAGGAGTATGCGGTGATAAATGATCCATAGCAAAGAGGTCGTCAGCTCCAACTATGAAAAGGGCAAAGGCAGAAAACAAATTAATTTTTTGGCTGAGATAACATTTAGTGATCATTTTCTGTGGGTCAGGCTCTGTTCTAAGTGATTTACACGGATTATCTCATTTGATTTTCACAGCAGCCTATTCTCTGACCCTTCGTTCGTGTTTTGTCTCAGGGAATGTTTTATCTGAGGGAAAGGCCGAGTATTGTCCACCTTTGGACCAGACCATAAAAGAGGACATGGCACCCCCTGAAGCCAGCATGATGGCAGCAGCAGTGATGACCAAGAATTCATCACAGGGCAGGTCCATTTGAGGGAAAGAAGTTGGGCTCTGGGACGCCTCGGTGGCTTAGTCTGTTAAGCTTCTGCCTTCAACTCAGGTCATGATCCTGGGGTCCTGGGATCGAGCCCTGCATCGGGTTCCCTGCTCAGCGGGAAGCCTGCTTTTCCCTCTGCCCTGCTCCTGATCGATCTCTCTCTCTCTCTCAATAAATAAATAAATAAAATCTTTAAAGAAAAGAAGAAGAAGAAGAAGTTGGGCTCTGAGGGCAGTCCCCACTCCCCACCACGGAACCCACATATCATTCTCTCCACTGCCTTCTCTCCCAGTCAGGAGAAACAAAGAAATCAGCAGGAGTAGGGCTTAGATCATCGCCTCTGGAGGGTTCAAGGAGGAAAACCACCACTAAGGCAGAGGTTTTTCCTCCCTGATTGAGCATTAGATTCAGCTGGGAAGCTTTTAAAGTGCCTGATGCCCAGGCCACACCTCATGCCAATTAATCAGAATCTCTCAAGTTGGTGCCCAAGCAGCTGTAGTTCTTAAAACCGCACAGCTGAATCTAATATGCACCCCAGTTTGAGGGTGTGGAGCAACGTTTCTCACACTTTAATGTGCACGTAGATCTCCTGGGGTGTATGTAAAAAAATAGATTCTGATTCCAGCACTGAGGCTGGGGTCTGAGATTTTGCACATTTGACCAGCTGCCAAATGATGCTGCTGTCTAGCTGTCCATGGACCACAGTTTGAGTAGCAAGTGTGAGATCAAATACTGGCTTTGACTCAGGTTCACAATTTTCAGATCTAATGTTTCATGATCTGGACGTTATTAATCCATGTGTTCTGCTAATTCCTGGGCGTCCCAGCCACTTGACAGCCATTGTTCTGTTTGCTCTTCCTCACTACCTGACTGGCCGTCGCTGGGGAAACTGAAGACTCACCTCTCGAACCATCCTACAATCGATGCTGTCCCCGATGTTTCTCAACTGCATGGCCAACTTGTGGATTATTTCCTCCTGGTGATGGTTCTGGCCAGTGCTACTCTCCTTGGGCTGAGAAGGCAGATCGTGATCTACATGGACAGAAAAGAATTCGAAAGAGATTATTAACTATCTATAAATCACTCGCCATTAGTCACCAAAAACTGTCTTAGACAATGAGAAGGATGAAATCTCATCATCAATGATTATAGAAAAGCAAAGTCTTATATTGGAATAGATTAGCTCTGTTCAATAAAAATGTAATTCAAACTACATTCTAATTTCAAACTTTCTAGTAGTAACATCTAGTAATATATTTCACTTAAGATGGTATATCCAAAGTATTACCATTAAACATATAATCAATATAAGATTATTACCAATATGTTTTACATTCTTTTTTATCATACTTAAGTCTTTCAAATCCAGCACAAATACCTACAGCACATCTCAATCCAGGTGCTATCTTGCTTTCCAAGTGGAAAATCTTGATCTGTATTTGGATTTCATGCAATTTACAGTTAATTTTTTTTAAAGATTTTATTTATTCATTTGAGAGAGAGAGAGCATGAGGGGGGGGAGGGTCAGAGGGAGAAGCAGACTCCCTGCCGAGCAGGGGGCCTGACGCGCGACTCGATCCCGGGACTCCGGGATCATGACCTGAGCCGAAGGCAGTCGCTTAACCAACTGAGCCACCCAGGTGCCCACAATTTACAGTTTAAAAGGTAGATTCATACATCCAAGTTGTTCCAAACATACTTAAAAATTTTCCAACAGTGAAATCAAGCATCAGGGCGCCTGGGTGGCTCAGTCGTTAAGCGTCTGCCTTCGGCTCAGGTCATGATCCCAGGGTCCTGGAATCGAGTCCCACATCAGGCTCCCTGCTCGGCGGGAAGCCTGCTTCTCCCTCTCCCACTCTCCCTGCTTGTGTTCCCTCTCTCGCTGTCTCTTTCTCTATTAAAAAATAAATTAAAAAAAAAAGAAGAAGATAGCAGGAGGGGAAGAATGAAGGGGGGTAAATCGGAGGGGGAGACGAACCATGAGAGACAATGGACTCTAAGAAACGGACTAGGGGTTCTAGAGGGGAGGGGAGGGAGTGGGGGGATGGGTTAGCCTGGTGATGGGTATTAAAGAGGACACATTCTGCGTGGAGCACTGGGTGTTATGCACAAACAATGAATCATGGAACACTACATCAAAAACTAATGATGTATGGTGATTAACATAACAAAAAATTAAAAAAGATAATAAATTTTAAAAATCTTAAAAAAAGAAATCAAGCATCAGTCTTTAAACTTAAATAAATTGTAAATAAATAAAACTTAAAATTTAGTTCCTCAACGGGCCACATTTCATGCGCTCAGGAAGCAAACATAGTTAGTAGTGATTGTACTGGACAGGGCAGGTCTATATCTTTATAGTTTTGTAAAATAGAGTTTTCTATTTCATGCTTATATCCATGATCCTTGAATGAGTTCCTCCAAACCTTATTTGCTTCCAACAACCAATGAGTGTTCTGTTGGGTTTTTTTTAAAGATTTTATTTATTTGTTAGAGAGAGAGAGCATGGGCGAGACAGAGAGTGAGCAAGGGTACAAGCAGGGGGAGCTGCAGGCAGAGGGAGAAGCAGGCTCCCTGCTGAGCAAGGAGCCTGATGCGGTACTGGATCCCAGGCCACTGGGATCATGACCTGAGCTGAAGGCAGACGCTTAACCGACTGAGCCACCCAGGCATCCCAACCAATGAGTGTTTTTAAGCAATACAATGAGTAAACTGCTGTGCTGGCTGCTTTGGGGAGTTTATAAAGAATAAAGACAAGGTTTCTGTCCTTAAGTTGCTTACAACCCACTGGTTAAGGATGAAACAATTACCAAGTGCTTCAGGAATACAGAGGAGGAGGAAATAAATTTGGGCTAAAGTAGATATAAGTATGGCTTCATAGATCCGCCAAATTTTGCATTGAACCTATTTTGTTTCAATACAATTTGAGGACTTTGATTTTTCAGGCTTTGTACTGAGAGACTAAGCCCTGTCCTCACAAAGTCTAGCAGGAGAGAGACACAAACTACAATTCAACCTGTTATATGTAGTAAGAGCAAGGTCTACACAGAGGAGTCAGGGCAGATGTCCCAAAGAAAATGATAGAACTGAGTTCAGTCTTGGAGAATGAAGGATGAAGAATTAGCCAGAAGGGAGAGATGGGGGTGGGGCCAGCTGGGGAGGAGTGGCAAACAAGACCTTCCACTCTATCCAATAGAGCAGGGGACCCACCGAAGGGTTTTAAGCAGGAAATGACAGGATCAGATTTGCTCCTAGCTCTTTCCCTCCAGAATCGGAGTGAAGATGGGTAAGACTTAAGGCAGGGAATGCATTAAAAGGCTACCGCAAAGTGCTGCGGAGAGATGATAGGAGTTGCCTTACAATAACTAGCATGCTTACCACACACCAGACCATACGGGCATTGTCTTACTGACTGACTACTCCCTTGCAATGACCCCCATGCGGTCATTACCCCATGCTACAGATGAGAGAGAGCTGTGGGTTAGGGCAGCACCTTTCAAATTTGGCTCCACCTTGGAATCCCTTGGGGAGGCTTTTAAAATTCGCACTGTTCAGTCCTCACTCCATTCCAGTGAAATCAGTTGAGCCAAGCATCAGTATTTTATTTAAAGCTCCTCAGGTAGTTCCCATGGGCAGCCAGGTTTGAGGACTGGTGGTTTAGAGGGGTTGCGTAATTTCCCCAGGGTTTGAAAGCTAGTAAGTGTGAGAGGCAGGATTTAAACCCAGGTCTGCCTGGTTGCAGAGCCCATGCTCTTAAACCTCAGCATACAGAGCCTGAACTAGTACTAACCTGAAGTAATCTCACAGGGGTGGAGTGATGAGAACAGATTCTATAAATATTTAGGAAGCAGAATAGGCTGGAATTTGGCAATAGACTAGCTGAGAAAAGTGAGGGAAAAGGAAATTCTTACTTTTCCAGCTCAGGACACTGGAAAGGTGATGGCACCATCAGCCTGTACAGAGGATGAGGGTCAATGGAGGATAGGTATAGAAGGCAGAGGAGGCAGGTTGAAAGAGGAAGATGGTAATTTTAGATTCATTTATAAATTTGAAATACCTGTAGGACATCTCAGCGGGCATCTGGGATATAGCTGAAGCAAAAAAAAAAAAAAAAAAAAGGCATGTATCTGAAGCTCAAGAGATGTCAGAACTTAAAGATTTAAGAGTTTAATTTCTTTATTCAATAAAAATGCAGGAGTGGATGAGATCTTTCAGAGTTTATATAGCTAATGGATAAGATTAATGGTTAACAAGGTAAGCAAAGGAGTAAAAGCCCACAAAAATGACTGAGAAGGAATAGTCAGAGTGGTAAAGGGGGAATCAGGAGAAACAGTGTTTCCTAACCATTTTTCAATGCTCGCTGAAAATTTCTTTCTCGGGGCACCTGGGTGACTCAATTGGTTAAGCATCTGACTTCGGTTCAGGTCCTGATCTCGGGGTCCTGGGATCGGGCCCCGCATCAGGCTCTACACTCAGTGGGGAGTCTGCTTCTCCTTCTCTGTCTCTCTCTATCCCTCCCTCCGCTCATGCTCGCTCACTCAGACTCTCTCCCCTCTCTCTCAAATAAATAAATAAAATCTTTTTAAAAGAAAAGGAAATCTCCTTCTAAAATATACTAATGGGCAATGTTACTTGGTTAACGATGGTATACAGAATATGACTCTGTGTGTGTGTATGTGTGTGTTGATGACAATGACTCTGAATCCTGAAACACACCCCCTTAGAGTCCTTTCATTAAAGATGCCAATCATTGTCTGACTTGCCCACACCCCCTTCCAAAAGAATCTGCCATGTTGCCTGAGCAATCAAGCTCCTTCTTCCATGTCCCCACCCCAACCCCAGGCCACAGCTGTTTGGATCAGAGATGGATAACTGACCCAAGAACATATAATCCACTGGCTGGCCAGGTAGTCAGAACCTCGCCCTGAAAAAGAACAGGGTCCCTTCCTCTCTGTTCAATGTTCGGGAGACTAAGAGAAAAATCGGCAGCGGGACCAGGAATGCTACATGATTATGATGGGCCTAGGGTAAGTCAAATCCATTTGCAAGCAAAAATTATGAAGGGGAAGGAAACACTGAAAGGAGAGATGGAGGAAGCTGGTTGACAGAGAAGAACTAAGCGAACAGACACTTATTAGGAAAGCAAAACTCAAAAAAAAAAAAAAAAAAGACTGGCCCCAGAATTGCCTCAGAACCTGACCCCTCCAAGTTCAGTTCTGTTTCATAAGCATCCTCACTAGCAACCACAGGTTTTTGGAGGTGACCGGAGTAGGTTTCTCTTCCCTGCAACCAAACGAATAATCATCAATGTCCGTATCAATTATCATTGTCCAGAGCTGTCAAATGTAGGAACAACTGCTTAGGAAATTGTGTTGGTATAAACCGGCTTCAGGACAGACTTTGAAAGTGAAATTTTAAAATTAGGTTTCTGGGGGGTGGGGGGCGCTTGGGTGGCTCAGTTTTTAAGTGTCTGCCTTCAGCTCAGGTCATGATCCGAGGGCCCTGGGATCAAGCCCTACATCGGGCTCCCTGCTCCACGGGAAACCTGCTTCTCCCTCTCCCACTCCCCCTGCTTGTGTTCCCTCTCTCTCTGTCTGTCTCTCTGTCAAATAAATAAAATCTTTAAAAAAAAAAAAATTATGTTCCTGGGGCAACCTGGCTGGCTCAGTCGGTGGGGCATGTGACTCTTGATCTCAGGGTTGTGAGTTGGAGCCCCATGCGGGGTATAGAGATTACTTAAACATAAAATCTTTTAAAAAGTAAATAAATAAAAATATTTTTTAAATGATAAAATAAAATAAAAATTAGGTTCCTGGTACTACTGGCTTGTGTTTTGGTTCTGGTCATTTACCTATTCCTCTTAAAAGTTGAATGCAGAGACACCTGGGTGGCTCAGTCAGTTAAGCATCTGCCTTCGGCTCAGGTCATGATCCGGGGTCCTGGGACTGAGCTCCTTGTCTGGCTCCCTGCTCAGCGGGAAGCCTGCTTCTCCCTCTCCCTCTGCTGCTCCCTCCTCTCCACCCCCTCCACCA